TGCTCCATTTAGACACTCTATAAACTGAGAAGTATGGTCACGTTAAGAATGTTGCAGACAACATTGACAGACATTGATAACATTGAGAACAAATGATTGGGAGAAACAGTAATATGCTAGACAAGTTAATTACGGCAAAGAATTACCCTGCAGCAATTCAGCAGTAGCTGGCTCCTTCACCTGATTAAAATGTTGTTTTCTGATGAACTTTGCTGTTGTCACTGTTGCTATATCTACTGAGACTGCCTTTCTGATTGTGTTCTGTTAGATAAAACATTTTGACATACATACAGATCTTAATTTGAATTGAAATGGTCAAGCGAACTTTCTGGGACAGGATCGAGTATATATAATTTGACTAATATATACTATTTGGTGCGGAGAAAAATATATGAAATATTGCTTTGGGAGCCCTGAATATTCCAAAATGTCTTTGTAAAATCAGTGTACTTTATTTTCAATATCATATATCTTTGAAAATGTAATTTTTCATGAATCATGATTCTGCCCTGAAACTACTTGAGTGTACTTTGGATAACTGTGGAGCTTATTTCAGTTTGGTAAGCAAAAAGTACTTCTGTCTTTTTTTAAAGTTATTGTTGAAAATGTGTTGCTGCCAGGAAATAATGCTGATCCGTAGGAATGCCTAAGTGATTTCAAGCTTGTTTTCAGTGATGAGCAGAAGTATGAACGTGCTCTCTCTTGATTGAAAGACTCAGTACACAAGAAAAACACGGTACCTGACGGCACACAATAAACTGATCAAGAATGCATTTTCCAAAATATGAGCCAAGATGTTTTTCTTGGCAAACAGAATTATCTTCCAGGAAAAATATATATTAATGAGGGAAGTAGCAGTACTGGAGTGTGTAGAGCGGTTGAATAATTGGGATTAAAAATGTGGACCCCAAAATAGGTCCACATTCTGAATGAATGTGCCAATAATGTTCACAGTTCTGTGTTACTGCGTTACAGGAAAATATCACCTTATTTTCAGTATTTATTTCAGCTTGTTTTATAGTACAGATATTTTGTATAGGTCTAACTATTACCAATCAAAGCATGGATGACACCAGAGTTTCCCCAAAGAGCAATGCAAATATACATTTCCATAGATGCATATGTATGCTTGGCTTTGTTTCAATCACAATGTATTATTTCCTGATGTGTTAAGGAAGTTGTATGTACAGATGCAGGCATAAATAATATAACGAAATATAAACATAATTAATAGATTCATATCTTGCTCTCGAAAAGACCGTTAAAAACACATTCTGACTTTGGATCATGGAGCTTAAAACAATACTGCTGTGGGTAACGATTGGAATTGACAGCCGTAGTTCTTAAAGGTTAATAAAATTATGCACAACCAGAACTACTAGTCAAAGTACTATTTATTTTTTACAAGAACACTTATGCTTCTCTTTATTTGTTACTTTTAATCGGTAAATTAGAAATCATAGAAAATAGGAGCAAAAGTAGACCATTTGACCCTTCAAACCTGCCCTGCCGTTCAAATAAAACTAAGAATGGCAGAATCTAGAGGTCTGAAATCACAGACCAAGACGGTGGCAGAGTATAGAGTGCTGAGCCTGGAGTTCATCCACTCCCATTGGCTTTCTCTTTCTTTTGTTTTCTTTAGTTCTTTTTACTTTTGCCCTTTTTTCTTCCTTTTCTTTAAAGCCCAGAGAGTGGCCAAAGAAGGAGGAGTCGTCCAGCAGCAGCAATGCCAAGACATAGAACATACAATGAGCCAGACATGGTGCCACCTCAGCCCAGGGTCTCCCGGCAAGCGGGGAACAGTTCCTGGGCTGACTCCCCTGGTCCAGACTCGCAGGCTGGGCCGGGTCTCCAGGCCCACAACAAGGCCAGGGCGCCTGAAGGAGAGGAAGCATCAGTGAAAGGGATGGACGGAGGATTGGCGGCAGCATCTGGTGGAATGTCAGATGGGAAATGGGGCATACAGAACCCAGTGCATTCCCAGGGCCGTGGCTCCAGGTCGGACGCAGCATTTGTGGGAGTGGCAGTGGTGGAGGCCCGTAAACGAGACCCCAGACCCGGTTACAAAGGCCCAAAAGTGACTGGAGGAGCAGCGGAGAGGAACAAGAAGAAGAGAGAAAGATGAACTATATTGCAGTAAAATCTTGCATTATGTTCAGGTTTCAAGATAGTGCTGGAGCCTGGCGAAACTTTGCATATAACATGCAAACAAATACTTTTCACTGTATTTTTATATACACATGACAATAAATCTAAATCTAACATAAACTGAAATTACTAGGGAAACTCAACAATTCTGGAAAGAAGAGTCAGGGAACTTAACATATTAACTCTGCTTTCTCTCCACAATGCTGCCAGACCTTTTGACTTTCTCCAGCAATTTCTGTTTTTGTTTGTTTCCACCATTCAGTATGATTATGGTGGTCCCATAACTCAGTATGCTGTTCCCACTCTCTATTTTGTTAAGATCACAGGTGTTGTATGTGTAACCATGTGACACTGATTTTGGACTCATAAAAACAAAGGTTAATTTGAGTTTAAAAAAAACTGAGCTGCTGAGAATTTCCAGCATTTTCTATCAGCAGTTGAGGCTGAGTGCTCTTCTGAACTATGGTTTGAAACAAGAAAATATTATTGCCAAAGAAAATATACTTGTAGAGGTTTAGCCAGTCGCTACTGGCTGGAAAAAAACTAGTTGGGATTTTGTAAAAATAAGTAGCATTTGAATTCATGGCATAGAGGAGTAGGAATTTGGGTGGATGAGGGCAAAAAAGAGAAGACGTTTCATACAATAGTGAGAGGGGTGGAGCATCAGCCTTGGTGGTAGCTGGGTGCAGTATCAGAGACAGTGAGGTAGCAGAGAGAAGATGGTGGCACTTAACCCTGGGGAAACAGTGATGGTCATTGATCATCTTCTTTCACTGCTGATCATTTGTCCAAATAGCTCAAGCCACAATAATCTAGATGACAACCTCGAACCAGGCTGAGAGGATCGAAAGGCATGGTGTCCTCTCCCAGCCCTTGGGATCATTTTCAGGACCCCATCCACCAGGTGCCCATCCACCAATTTCTCCTTAACTGCCAAGTCCAGTGTGCATGGCATAAACTGTTCAAGGGAGATCTGGATATACACTGCTTGTCCAGGTGCACAGTAGCCTTTTAAAGAAGCACCAGGCGCCAATGGTGCTGGTCCTTTCCAAGATCTGCCAGCAGTGGCGGGTTCTTCTGGCTACAGTGAGTAGTAGAATTGAGCGAGCTGGATACAGAATGGGGTGTCATAGAGGTAGGGTAGGTAGTTAATGAGGCAAATTTAAAACAAGAGCACAAGAAAACCTGCTAGGGCTTACAGAGAGCAGCCCTCCATAAAACTTGATGAAGTTGAAATTTAGTGAAAAAAGAAGAAAGGCCATAGACATGAGTAAACACAGCTACCAGCATGATTTCTACTCAACCAGTTGAGAAATAACTGTAGAAGGACTAAGAGGGTGAATTCAATGCTAAAGCAAGTACTAAATGATCAGATTAGAGGAGAAAGGAAGGTGAAAAATGTAAAATCTTTGAATCCCTACAATGTGGAAGCAGGCCATTCGGTCCATCAAGTCCATGCTGACCCTCTGAAGAGCACTCCACCCAGACCCATCCCATCCCAGTAATGCTCCATTTCCCATGGCTGATCCATATAGTCTGCACATCCCTGGACACTATGGGCAATTTAGCATGGCCAATCCATCTAACCTGCATATTTTTGGACGCAGACACAGGGAGAATGTGCAAACTCCACACAGATAGGAGGGTGGAATTGAACCCGGGTCCCTGGTGCTGTGTGGTAGCTGTGCTAACCACCATGCTGCCTGTTTAAGTCGCTGTAGATAATTCAAAATGTGAAGGAATGATGTCCACACACACAACAGTTCATTTTTAGTGACAGGATCAGTTACAACACAAATCAAGGCCCAAGCATTGCAAAATGCAGCCTTGCTAACTGCTAGGGTGACAGGATCGAAAGGCATGGTGTCCTTTCCCAGTCTTTGGGGTCCTTTACAGCACCCCATCCACCAGGACTACCAGGTGGCCATCCACCAATTTCCCCCTAACTGCCACGTCCAGTGTGCATGCCATAAACTGTCTTTCTAACAGTTAGTGTAGTTCAGTGGCCCAATCACAGCACTAAAAAACACTAATGCTACTTCTTAAGCTTTATGGCAGCTATAGTAAAAGCTCTTGGCCTCTTCTACATTCTCCTACTATTATGGGACCACCTTCTGAGCAAAGGGGAATATCAACAGTAAAAAATATAAATTGCAGCAATATGGAATTTGATTATAAAGGTATGCTTCTGTATATGAAGGAGTGCTTAGCCTTAGTTTTTGAACAAAACTATGTCAGGCTTTCCATTTGTTCAAAGGCGTTGATGGATTAGTATGCTGGAGTTCACAATCTAACAGCTCTGGTATTGCATCAGGATGCAATGATTCAAAGAGAAGACCCAAAACCACAGGAACTTAAGAATGAGTAATAAATTCTGCCTTGCCAGCGTCACCCATCACCTTAGAATACTTTTTAACAGTTGTGCATAAATGGTAGAGCCGTTTCTTGGATGTCCAAATAGCTAGAAACACCAAACAAAAGAAGCCATATTGGTACTGTTGAAAATATATCCTGTGAAATAATGTGCACAAGAAGACTGTTTGTTCACTTTCTCCTCAGTATGTCTTGACACTAGATAAAAAGGCATTAAGTATTCCTCAAATAAATTCACATTGCATAAAGTATTGAAAAATAACTCAATGGATCTGACACAAACTAGCCACCTTACAAAGAAAACTTCAGAGATTACTGCATTCTTGATTTGCAGACATGACTCATTCACCATTATTTGACACAAGCACAGCAGGAATGATTCAATCCTTATTTCTATCTGCCTGTTTCAGTATGAGTAATGGCTACTTTTTTCCCTCTCTCTTCATTTGCAAATCTTTTTTTTTCCCTTTTACCTGTAGTCGATTTGCCCCTATATTTTCCACGGGATCAACCCACGTTGACGTTCCAGTCGGTGTATCATTTTACCAACAGTGGACAACTCTATCAACAGATACAGAAATCTTACCCATACAGTCCTCGCTGGGATGGCAATGAGATGGCTAAAAGAGCAAAGTAAGTATCTTTAAGATTAACAGAGCTTAGATTTACTGCTGCAATAGAAAATCTTTGCTTTGAGTTGAAGCCAATGTAGCTAGATTTTCTTTCCTGATCTCTCTGTTTTAAACATTGATTATTGTCACAAGACTCCAGTCATTTCCCCCTCTTAAACAATGTTAAGAATATTAGCTTAACTACTGTCCACAATGATAAACTGTTGAAGCAAGCAAGCAGGTGGGAAAGTCCATAATGTACCCTCTGCTCCAATGCTTTATCCTTGGCATGTATTTGTGAAGGTTAAGTGCTTTGCGTCTACATTCAGGAAGCAGATGGTGTTCCAGGATACTCAGCAATGGGCTTGGAAACCTCACTACCAGACTTTTATGTTAGCTCAAGGCTGATGAGCAAGAGTAGAATATCTATACGCACTTTTGTTAGAGAATCATTCCAAAGATATTTTACCATTTTACCAAGGTATTCTTTTAAGCTTACCCTGTATTCCTGTTATTAGACTTTTGTGGGTGTCAATAATATTTCTGCAACAAAATCATAATGTTAAGGGTAGCATTTTTATGCTGAGTAAAACTAAATTTAGGCATTTTTGTTGTGAAATTTTAGTGTGTTTCTTCAAAAATATTGTTCTGTATATCTATTAATTTCTGATTTTAATATGAAGAATATACCAGCCATATTTATAGTTGTTGTTAATTACCCTCTGATTATACAGTATTTTTAATTTTAAACACAATGTACGCTAATAAATCTCATCTTACTGCTGAGATTTGATTTACTCAATCCAAAAATCCTTACTGGCTGTCCAAACTTGCCACAGAACGGATCCAAAGAGTGATTAACATTCTTTGTAGCACCAGCTAGTTTAACCACAGATATTTGAGGATGAGCTTGACTCTGCTTAGTGATTCTGACAAGCCAGGAAATCCAAAATGGAAGCTGTCCATAAAATTAAGTAAATTACATCTGGGGAGACCATGGCCCCAGTGGTATTATCACTGGACCTTTAATACAGAGACCCAGGTAATATCTGGGGAATAGGTTCAAATCCCTCCACAGCAGATGGTATATTTGAATTCAGTAAAAACCTGCAGTTAATAGTCCAGTGATGGCCACAAATCCATTCTGGACTGTTGAAAGAACCCGTCTGGTTCACTGACGTCTTTTAGGGAAGGAAACTGCCATCCTCACTGGTCTGGCCTACATGTGACTATGGACCCACAGCGCACATAAGTCAACGCTTCTTACTGTACCCCAGTACACGTGACAGTAATAAATCAAATCAATGCGGTTGACCCTTAACTGCCTTTTGGGCAATTAAGGATGGGCAATAAATGCTGGCCAGTGATGCTCTCGTCCTGTGAGTGAATTTAAAAAATACCTTTTTTCTCCTATAAAAGGTTACAGTAACATTATAATCACCACAGCTCAAACTGAGATAATCGAAGTCTGCATTTGAAATTTGTCCAGTCTCAACACAATTTTTTGTGAACACACAGCGCAAAATTGCTGCCAATTAAATTTATATGAAATTACCAGTTTTATAGGGGCCATAAATTGTGAAAGGCAGACACACTCACATTGGTATTGTCTGAGGTTTTTTCCTGTTTGGACATGATGGAACAGTGTTTTACTCTGCATCTAGGTATGCTCACCCTGGCCTAGGAATGCATGAGGTTGTAACGGGTGCCAATATTGAAGTTGCCTTCAGCCTGATGCAAATATAAATTCACCAAAAATGCATGTTTTTAAAAAATTGTAAAAGGGTGAGAGGCACTTCATGCTGAAGTTAGCCCACACATCCCTCCCAGAACATTCAGATGTCTGGAGAAAATTTCATGGATAAATGGAAGAGACCTAAAGAGTCTACGATTCTCAAGACTGAAAAATAAAAGTTGCAAGTGAAATGTGTTGGCATCCACTGCTCAGATAACTCTAACTCCAAATGTATATAGCAGGAATCTAACTAGCTAGTTCTGTTTCAGTCAGTTTTGATACTTAATTCTAATTTTACAAGCTGACCAGTTTTAGTATTATTTGATGCTGCTAACTGGTAACAAAAACCTCATTTAATTTTACTTGTTCCTGTTTTGGTTTCTAATTATTTCCCCTCCTATCAAATGACATTGTGATTTTGAAGTATAATAAATGGCACATTTTGGTATTGACATATATGACTGCCATGTGTGCCATTGTTTTAATTTTTGTGTTTAATAATAATGGTAATTTAATCATGTTAATAAAATTGCACTACAGGAAACCTTTTAATTTTATAATACATGTATGTGACTTTTAAGGAACATTTGCATCCTGAATTCCTGTGGTTTTGAACAGAGAACAGAAAAAATATTGACATTATAAGTCATAATCTTACTCGCTGACAGGTGGCTTAAGGGGCCAAATGGCCTACTCCTCCTATTTCTGTGTTCTTCTGCAGTGGGATACCAAACACATTTAAAATTAAATTTTTCCTCTGTTGTTTTAATGGGAAACTTGACCTATTTAAATTAAAGGAAGGAGTTTCACCTAACTCTTAATGCATAATTTGCATAATTATTAAAAATAAAAAAAATTAAAAATAAACTAATTAAAAATAATTATTTGGAAAATAGGATGTCTGCCAATAATAAATAAAGATTCTTTTACATTGGTATTGTCAAGGTTTGTGCATGATATGCTTTTTAATTGTTATCCCGATGTTTCAACTCAACTATCATTTTTCAGCTACTTTTTAATCTTTGTCAAAGTAGATAAGTTTGCTTTGGTAAACTGAACCCTTGGCTATCCTGTTCATCAAGCATTTTATGGTTTATTTTTATCAGGAGAATTGGTGTAAGATTAATTGATGATCATGTCTTTTAAGTTGAATTATATCAATGTTTGACATTCTACCAAATTATTTGTCTATTAACAAATGAAGGGAAAGATTGTATTTTGAATTTGAACGGAAACATGGAGGAAATGCATTTTCTCTTTTTCTTCTTCTTCCCCTTCCCCTAAAACTACATGCACATATTGTCTGTAAATGTGGAAGAGTAGAACTATTTCCATGGAAATTGCCCTTGGATGAATAACCATGGGCTGTTCTTTAGATGGGAGGAAGCAAGACTCCATGACATTTATGCCTTTTATTCATTACCATCTGTTTCTCTGTTTTTCAAATCTGGAGGGAGAGATTAATTATTTTTTGTTTTTTAGTTTGTTTTCCATGTCTCCCTGGATTGTTCCCTAACTAAGCTGACCTTTTGCTAGGCTTATTCCAGAATCACTCTTGAGCTACATATTATAAGGTGTCCAAGATGGGCCAAGCAAGATATCTTTTTCCTTGTGCACTCATGACATGATGATGACCTGATCAGAATCTTATTATTTGGAGTATCATGGTTTCAGCCTTGCAACTAAAGTTCTGCGTACTGTTCAAGGAATATGTGGATTTTGGTGAAATTATGGCCAGGAAATATTTCTCTTTCCCCATCACCTGTGCTTTACCTGCGATTTAGTGTAGAAGGAGTTCCGTCTCTGGAGGATCAAACTTGGCCGAAAATACATGCCTTCCAACAAGAGAAGAGCAAAATTGCTCTTTGTCGGCAATTTAAAAAATAGCAGAAGGCATGATATAGGTCTCTTAAAGAATCATGTAGACAATGAAGGAAACCTAAAAGGGAAGAAATTCTTATGAAAAGAATAATTTTCAGTTTTTCAGAAACTGATGTTTTAAAATACGTATTTAGTCAACTACAAATACTATTCAGCTATTAAACTGATAATTATCATTCCAATGTTCTTTTGCTGTTCATTTTTAACCACTGCTTTGTCTCTCTTTTTTATTCATTAGGGCATACTTCAAAACATATGTTCCTCAGTTCCAAGAGGCAGCTTTCGCTAATGGGAAATTATAGTTGACACCAGAATCCAGAAGGAAACCAATCAGACAGATGTATTTGTTTATTTCCAAAGTCCATTGCATTTTTTAATTCTTCCTCCTGTGTGCTGAATTCCAACTGTAAGGACATTGATTTTCACTTGGCTGCAATTCATTGGAGTGTGCCTATAGATAAATTAAGGTATTTTCCTAATTGTTCAGTGAACATAAACCAACTTAGTTCTGTGTTCCAAATAACATGAAATGTTGTGAATGAGTGAGAAAATTGTTCCAAGTTGCAATAAATATTCCCATTGCAATGCTTAAATGGTCTAAATCTGTCATTGGAAAAATATTAGAATCTCTCATAAAGGATGTAATAGCAGAGCAATTAGAAATACAATAGGCGGGTTACAAGAATAGGCAAAAAACTTGTCACATGGAGTATATTGTGGAATAATGCATGGTTATGCACTTTGGCAGAATTAATAATGGAGCTGAGTATTGTTTAAATGGACAAAGCCTGCAGAAGGCTATAGCACAGAGTGATTAGGGAGTCCTCATGCATGAATCACCAACAGCTGGTACACAGGTTCAGCAGGTAATAAGGTTGACACTTTTTTATTATTCATTCGCGGGCTCATTAACGGGATGAGGGTGTTCCTGGCCAGGCCAGGATTTATTGCCCATCCCCAATTGCCCAGAGGGCAGTTGAGAGTCAACCACGTTGCTGCGGGTCTGAACTCACATGTAGGCCAGGTATGGATCACAGTTTCCTTCCCTAAAAGACATTAATGAACCAGATGGGTTTTTCCAACAATCGACAATAGATTCATGGTCATCGTTAGATTCCTAATTCCAGATTTTTTTTACTGAATTCAAATTCCACCATCTGCCATGGCAGGATTTGAACACGGGTCCCCAGAACAGTAGCTGTCTGGAATATCTCTGCATTAGTAGTCCAGCAGTAATACCAGTGGGCCGTTGCCTCCCCAAATGGAATGTTGGCCTTTATTTCAAAGGGAATGGAGCATAAAATTTGAAAGAATTGCTAAAACAACGCAAGGCAGTAATTAGACCACGTCTAGAATATCAGGAACAGTTCTCATCCAATTTTATTAAGACAGGTACTCAGCCATTGGAGACAGACCAAGGAAGGTTCATTAGCTTGATCCTTGCATTGGGCAGGTTTTCATATGCCAGGTTGAGTAGGATGGGCCTGTACTCATCGGAATTTAGAAGAATGAGAGGTGATCTTATTGAAATGTACAAGATTCTGGTAGGACTTGACAGGGTAGTTGCTGAAAGGTTCTTCCCCCATGCAGGAGAGTCTAGGACAAGAGGAAATAATCTTAGACTGAAAGGTCGCCCATTTAAGACAAAGATGAGGTGAAATTTCTTGTATGAGGATAGTCAGTCTGTGGATTTCTTTACCGCAGTGGGCTGTAAAAGCTGGAGTGAAAACATTGAAGACTTTCAAGAAAGATGTAGTTCTTAGGACTATAGGAATCAAAGGATATGGGAGTAAGCAGGAACAGGGTACTGAGTTGGATGATCAGCCATGATCATATTGAACGGTGGAGCAGGCTCAAAGGGCTGAATAGCCTACTCCTGTACCTGTCATGTTTCTGTGTTAAGGATATTCGAGGCTGTGATAAGCAGATTTTAAATCAGTAAAGGAATTAAGCATTAAAGGGAAAGACCGGAAAGTAGAGTCGAGGATTGAGATCTGCTGTGATCTCATTGAATGGCACAGCAAACTCAAAGTGCTGAATGATCTACTCTGGCTCCTAGGTTTTATGGTCTTGTAGAGATTGCAGAGATAGGAAGGACAAGGCCATGAGGGGATTTGAAAACCAGGATTAAAATTTTCCAGGCACTGTTTGACCTGGGGCCAGTGTATATCAGGAAGCACAGAGTTGATAGATGACTTAGTATGAACTAAATCAGAGACAGCTGAGTTTTGCATCACTTCAAGTTTATGGAGGAGAGAATATGGGAGACTAACCACATTCAACCAGGAATTCAGTGGAATAGTCAGGTTTAGAGGCAACAAAGGCACAACTGAGATTTGCAGCAGCACAGGAATGGAAATAAGTGATATTGAGTGATGTCATCAGAGTTGAAAGTTAAAGATATTAATACAGCAAATCTGCATTTTCAGTGTTTAAGGAAAATAATGATTGTTTGCTTCCATTTTTTCAATCTTGAAATCTGTGAAATTGACATACATACAGGCACTATAATTCAAACTAAAGACTAAAAAAAGGATTGCACATTTTGTAGTAACCAGTATAGAATGGATTGTCTCCACACTAGTAAGGATGGCAAGCATTTCTGAAGTACAATGTGCCTTATAGAACATTACTGTTGACCTGGCAATCTATTATTACATTACCTGTCCTCAGAAGAGCACCACCTATTTGTACAAATGACACTATTCTCATCTTTGTATTATATTTTTCAAACCCAACACATGGGCATGCTACAGTGAGCAGTCATTTTTGAATGGCATTGTGCTCTTGGTTTAAACCTTTTATATGGAATTATGTAGAATTTATAGTTCAATAACAGGACATTTCACACTGTCGGTTCATGCTCCACCAGATTCTTAAGTACATCAGCTTATTATCAGCTCATTCCTTTCTGCATTCTCTGTTGTCCTAACTTCCCTGTTCACCTCAACTGTGCGTGTCAGTTCACATTCTAATCACACTGAATACAGAATCTTGTGAGTTTCCTTTTGGATTTATTAAGGATTATCTTGATGTAATTATACAGGGCCTTGGTGAGACCACATCTGGAATATTGTGTGCACTTTTGGTATCCTTTTCTGAGGAAGGATACTCTTGTTCTGGAGGAAGTGCAGCAAAGGTATTCCAGGGGGTCTAACGTATGAGGAGAGATTGACTAGGTTGGGATTGTTTTCGCTAGAGTTCAGAAGAATTAAAGGGTTCTCATGGAGACTTATAAAATTCTAACAGGACTGGACAGGGAGGATGCTCCCGATGGTGGCTGTGTCCAGTACCAGGGGTCAAAGTATGAGGATTCAGGGTAGACTATTTAAGACGGCGATGAGGAGACATTTCTTCACCCAAAGTGTGGAATTCATTACCACGGGAAGTAGTTGATGCCAAAACATTGAATGTATTCAAGAGGTGACTAGATATAGCACTTGGGGTGAATGGGATCAAAGGTTATGGGAGAAAGCAGGATTAGCCTATTGAGTTGAATGATAAGCCATGATCGTGAAGAATGGCAGAGCAGGTTCGAAGGGCTGAATGGCGGCCTCCTGCTCCCAACTTCTATGTTCTTTGTCTATGTTTATTATTCTTAGGTTGGAGTCTGATTTGGATTTTCCCCACCAGTGATTTTCTCTATTAATTTCTTAATTTCTCTACGTCCATCTTATTGTATTCACAATCTTGGAGAGATATCATATCGTCATTTCTCAACCTCCTCTTTTCTCCAGTAAAGAGCCGCTTGCTGGAAGTTGGTGTGGAAGTTGAACTCATTTAGTCTTTTACCCTGCATAATTATCAGAGAAAACTGACAGTATACTGTTTGTGTAGATGCAGTCTTTAATTCCATGACTATCCATTTCCCAGTTTTGCAATGCCATTATTGTCACCCTGTTTACGACAGTTTTAGTTTTGTACTGAACTGTGCTTAGATTTGAACATCTCCTGTAGTCTTGTGCTGGATTTTAATGGAAGTTCTCTATGCTGAAATATTGGACAAAAATGCTATTACATCTAAAGGTATAGGATAATTTAAATTGCAGAAGCGCTGACTTTGTGCAAGCAGAACCCATAAAAGCTTTGCACACCTCCATGATAATTTTATCTTAAGCAAAGGTCATTCATGATGCAATATTTGCTTCAAATTTGTTTCACATCTGTCTTGCGTCTCCTCCTTTCTTCACCGCCCACCTCCGCCCCCAAAAAAAGTCTCCATTTTGTTCAGACATTGATGAAGCTTAACTCCATTTATCTTCTAACTCGGGGACATATCAATCAGCAACAAGCACTGATAATGTGGTCTGCACTTGTTAGAAGATCAAATTAGATATCAGCACCCCAGTTTATACTGTTTTCACTGAAGTGAATTTGATACCTGTAGCATTGCTATGCATCTTTTAGATCAAGCTATCTGTATATATTAAAAAGGAACTTGACATAGTTACAGATAAGCACACTCCAATCTGTAAATGTCCTGTCTGAATAATTAAACCCAATAGTGACCTTTGTCTACTTAACAACAACTAGACTTAAATTATTAAAAGGAATGTAATCCAATTGAGCAGAATAATATACTGTGTGACACATTATCGAGGGACCTAAACCAAGACTTTGAATTCAATTTGTTAGTGTGCAGGGTACCGGTGGATATTGCTCAGGATAATGTTGGTGGATAACAAGTTTTGACATGTAATAAGATAATTGCAGAAGAGGTTTGAACAAGTTATAATGTGTGTGGCTCAAGAGATAGGTGTTGGAAATTTAAGTTTTGGTAATAACCAAGGTAAGGGCTTCAGCAACATATCTTCAGAGGTGAAAGTAAGTTGCAATAGAAAAGAATTGAAATTGGAAACTTAGTCCATGCTTGAGCAAGTTACCAAATTTCACTTCTACGACAGATAAATGAGCAACTTAGGAGCTAGTGATAAGGATAAAGAAATTTTTGAGGAAGCCCAAAAAGATGGATATGGTCTGTATTTGAAAGTTTTTGAATCTTGATGAGTAAAAAAAATTGATAGGCCTTTCGTGGTATGTACTCACTGAAGCTTGGGAAATCTGGCAGCTAATTTATCCTCAGCAATTGTTGATGTTGAAGCACAGACTGACAAAACAGGCAGTTGCAGAGCTCAAGTAGACCATCACTGAGAGGCACTGTTTAAATGGAGAATAGAAGACAGTTACATATGGAACCTTGAGATGCTCTATTTGTGATTATTTAAAATCAAGACAAAATGCCATTTTTATACTTTGTCCTCCAAATGTTTTTGATTCTACAAAGCCTTGTTTATTGTGAGTCATTGTTTGTTGGACCACCTCGTTATGAATGGCATTATAAATCTACCACATACTCTGGCGTTAGAGTCACATTTTGGCCTGACCATGGAGAAATTGCAGGTTTCCTTCAGTTAAGATCATTAACAAGCCAATAGAATATTACAGTATCTTTTGTGGTCGCTTCTGATTCCATCCATAAATTATCGTAGATTAACGCAGTTTTCACAATTTGCCCGATTCAGTTTAACCAATGATTTCACATTTGCTAGCACAGTACCATCATCAAGAGGCTGCTGTATTTACTTATAATCTA